AGAGATGATTGAGAGAGCTCATCCACAAAGTCCTGGGCATGTAGCATTTTCTAATAGTCCAAGGAAGCAAATGGAAAAAATACCAGCTCCATTAAAAATACCCAATAATTACGTCTTCACTTCACAGCCCAGATCTCCAAAATATGCATCTCAGTCTGATGGTCCATCTCATGGACTGAATGTAAAACAGCCACTGCCAGGTTATAGTAATCCCCCTACTTACTATGGGAATTCCCCAAAGCACGTTTCCAGTATAGGCAATACAAGTTCTTCACCTCTGCATTACCATGGGAATCGGCCCAGCCCCTCTGGAAGGCCATACCCTTTTATGTCAGTAGATTATTCCCCAAATAAGCTGCAAATGAATTCCTATCCTGCCAGTCGCCAAAATCCTCTTTCACCAGCCCCTGCTCAGACAGAAGTTGCTCCTGTTGATGCTTACACCAGCAGCTTGAGGTCTTCTCCAGGTGTCAAATTCATAATCCCTCCAGCAGATTATTTACCAGACGAGAGAAAGTGGCCAGATGCCACCTACATCTACAGACACGAACCCTACAGGCAGCCCTGGAGCCAAGACCTTAACAAAGGTCACTTGGATAATTTCCAGAAATACCAGCATTTCCAGCCAACACCTTTACAAGACCGCAGTCTTCCTCCTGTTTCTGTGGATAGTCCAGTGAGATACAGGACTTCCCCAACCTTGGAAGAGAATGGTTCCCCACAGTATCAATATCCAAGCCCATCAGCTCAAGCCCAACACTATCGGAGCAGAACTGATGGATTGTCTATGCATGAATCTGTGCTTCTCTGAGAATCTGGCTATGCTTAGTGAAATGGCAAGAATCAAAACCAGCTGAACAGTACTGTGTTAGTAGTAGTCCACCTCTGAAATGTGGATGGTTCATGTGAGTTCAAAAATAATGACACTATTTCAGAGGTGTTTCAGGCTTTGGTTGAAAGCTGGTGGAGTTCTTGGACTTGCATGGAAGCTACTGGAAGTGATCTAATGCACATAGACATAGCAATAAGCTCATATATACCATGTGGTTCATGCTGTCGTCTCTCCTTACATTTTAAATAACTTGTGTTACAATCCTTCTGCCTAAAACCTGTAACACAATGAAAAGTTTTATTTTGACTGACATTGTTAATGCACTGTACAGATGTGTGTGTGTGCGCCTGTGTGAGTGTGCATTTACAGTACACAAACTCATGTAGAAAAGAGCTAAAGAGTTTAAATTTAAACACATTTAACTTTGGGCAAAGCTCGTGAAGTACTTTAATTTCATATTAATTTTTCTTTGTAATTTATTTAAGAAGCCATTCATTTTGAATGGGAATTTCACTCATACAGCTGCCTCAGCATCCCAGTATCTGTTCTGGGCAGGAGAGATGCTTTGGGATTATTAATTTAATCATGTGTGAGAGTTAATTTCCTCTCCTTTGACTACTGTTTGTCCTTTTCCTCAGCAGGAAGGAGCAGGCAGGGAAAAGCAGAAAGCCAAAAATGTCTCTCTAATCTGGCTAAGAAATGGTGCTTAAATTCAGGGCAGTGTTTAGGGTTTTTTTTTAAGTGCATCAGGAGTGGAGAATTTGTACCTTCTCATCCAAATCTACCTTCAGAATGTCGTTCTATATGCAGAAGACTGGAGCACAGTGAGACTAATGCCAGATACAGAAATGGTGCTGCACCCTTCACTTTTTGCCATGCTGTGCTGTCAGGCTAAGACTGGTTGCAGGGCCAAATCTCACAGGTATCAGAGAATTGTGCAGCTCATTGACACCTCTGTGAAGTGCATGAAGGAGATTGAGCTTTGCTCCAGGCTCGATATGTATGTATGTACTGTGTGAGTATGCAGTGTCCTTTCTCCTAAGCTTTGTTGAGTGGATTCTGTTGTGTTCTGCCCTTTTCCCCCCCAAATTGCTGGCGAGTTCATGTTTGTGATGGGACTTGCACTGTGTGGTGTTTTACACCAAAATGACCCTGACTGTTGTTAACAGGAACCTTAAACTCCTGCTGATGTAAGTAATTCTAATTAGTGTTCACAGCCTTTTTTACTTTGTGTATTCCTTTCTTTGAATGTGAATTGGGGGTGGAATTAAAAGCAGGTGAAGTGGCACATGTAGGATGGAGTCCTGTGAGCTGCAGGACGCGCTGACCTCTCACCGGGAGCTGAGGCAGAGGAGGGTCTCACCAGGAGAGGTCCTTGGAGTACTGAACAGAGAGTTTTCTCTAATACTGAAGTACTAAACATTGGTATCAACACCAGTTTGGAATGTTGTCCTGTTCCCTTTTGTTTTGTAAGGTTTGTTAACTGAAAACATAGAAACAGATATTATTTTTTTTTTCTTTAAAGAATGAGCTTTAGTGCCTATTATTGCTGCAGGTTGGCTCTGTAAGTTTTAAGGTACAGAAGTAAAAAAATTTTTACAAATGGAAGTAACATTTGCTTAGTATGTTTCAAAACAATTTTTTGTGTATATAACGTGTCTGATGTAATTTTTAATAACTGGGCAATTTTATATTTTAAATATTGAAACCGCAGCGAAGTAACTGTAGCCAAGCACTACACTGAAATCCTAAACTAAAATTGTGAAGATAAATATGACTTGGGCTTACTTTAGTTCTGATTGCTTACAGCAGCTTAGAAATGTATGTATATAATATTGTGGCTAAGTGTAATAATCTCAGTGTTTAATGATGGTTCTGTAATTCATAACAAAGCTGTACAATTTATTTGTGCAAACAACATGAGGCTCCAAAATATGTATCAGCGTTAGTAAATAATGTAGATTTTTATATATAAAATATATACACACTATTTTCTTATTTCATCTACAGCAGTTTTATAACTGTGTACCTATTTTGATGTGACTGTATTTTTAACATGTTAAAATAATAATAATTAAGCTTATGTTGTTTTGTCTTTCTTCTTAATTATTTAATTAGTTCCAAACTGGACTTTTGCTATTCTCAACAGAAACAATTGCTTTTCATAAATGAATCATCTGTATATATATGATGTATCCTATTTAATTTGTACATGTTTATTTTTAGACTAAGCAGTGTGGATACAATCTATATAGTGTTTTTGCATTATTGCAGAAGTGGCAAGATTATTGATTATAGTTTATTACACTGCTAAACCTTAGCCTATCATTTGCAAAAACTGGGAGCATAAACTGTGTTCATAATTTTCTGGTTGTGTTCTAATAATCTCACCCAATACCAGTTTAAAAGAGAATTGTTGGCATAAGGAGTTTGCAAAGTTGCATTGATCTAAGTGCAAAATAATAGTTTGACTGTGGCTTCCATCTCTCACATCTGGAGGATGCTATTGAGTTATTTTTTAAAAAAAAGCAATCCAGCCATGTGTCATCTGATTGTGGTGCAAAATACATTTTTATTTTTATTTAACTGGACAAACCAGGCTCAAGGTACAACCAGATTTGAGTCTGTCATTTGTACCAGTAACAAAACCCACCTGATGCAGAGTGAAGTGAGACAAAGCTGTTCCAGTGCCTTGCTGATAGAGGGGTTCATCTCGGTGTCATGGATTAGACATCCTCATAAGAGCTTTTGTTGTCACTGTTTGATCTGAAAACATTGGAGGGGTAAGTATCAGCATTAAATACTTGAGACATTTTCTTTCTTCCTATGGTTTCATAATTTTCCAAGATCTCTGTTTTGAGCTGTATAAACTGTAGGTTTTTTGTCCAAGTCAGTTGTCACGACTTTCCTTGTGATTGGTGAGACAAATTCTGCGCAGGGATTTGGAGAATTAACACAGAGGAGCAAGAAGACTAAGTAAAGAGACATAACTAACTTCTGTATGGCAAAAAATTAGTGAAATTAAACTAATTAGGGTTTAAAGAGAAAAGAAAGTGTATTCTGTGGTTGCCTTTCACTTGGATGCTCTGCTAGATTAGATCTAATGACTTCAGCGTGGTACTGAAGCATTTCAGTCCTGTGCAGTAAAAATTGTTGTGGCTGTGGAAGAAACCATGATCCTTCCTGTCTATTACTGGTACTCCTAAACTTTTTGGTGAGTGGGATGTGATTGCAAGATCAAGGTGCTTACTTAGCTATATAACCAAGATAGGTTATACACTGCAAATGGAGACAGAAGCCATCCCTGCTCCTCCTTCCAGGGGAAGATTTTGGCATCAGATTTGGTGATCAATCTGAATCTAAACCCTAGCCTGGGCAGCTAAAGAAGAGAATCTGACCTCAGGAAAGTTGTTTCCTTTTCCTCAGATCCATCTGTGGTCAGTCTATAATTTAGGGAAGGCAACATGAGGAAAGGGAAAACCTGTTTAGCCAGTAGTCTGTTAAGGAGAATAGTCTCTCCTACATCTGCTGATGACTACTTAAAGCCTTAAAGCATGATACTATTTGCAATTGTTTCAAAATTATCAGACCTATTTATCTCAGTGCTAAGATGTGTAAATGCCAGTTGCCTCTGTAATACCTGTCAGCAGGATGAATCCCTTGTTGTAAAAGTAACTGCTCTATCACTATCAGTTAAGTTTCAAGGCAAGTAGCCAGAGATTTTTAGAAATCATGGAGGATGCAGAAGAGAAGTACCTTATTGCTAGTCAAAGATACACTATTGTAGTATTGTATTATTGTAGCCACAGAATAATTCCAAAATTAGATGCAAACAGTAAACAACATTGAAATGTCAAAAGACAGAACAGCCTTCCAGTATGGGGGAGCAAATCCAAAGCTTCCCTGAGGTACACACACATTTTCCAGGGAGATTTTTCTCAAGAATCCTATCCTAAATTTCACATCATCTTCAATATGACTTTGAAATGGACTTGCAAATTGCAGACTTTTTTTTTTTTAATCTCCCCCTTGGGTGGCATTACACTGCATGCACAAAGAAGAATACTATTTAAAATATGCCATCAAACGCCCACCATTTCATTTCCAGCAGAGAACATTCCACTTTCGATACTTCAGTGAGAGGAAAATATAATCTTTTTTTGTAGTCCTTTAAATACTGCATTTTTGTAAAGTTCTGTAAATGCAGCATGGTTACAGTTTAACGGCTACTTAACCAAGTATCGTTCAGTCTCCTCTTTAGATGGCATGAAGCTACTGCATAATTTGCTGCAGTTACTTTTTTCTTTTGGGCAATATTAAGACAATCCAAATGCTTTTAGTGGCAGAGTTGCAATGAGAAGATGACTAGGCCAACAATTGAAATTGGAAATATAATTGCAGTCATTTTGGAATAGCCTTTAAGTGACTGCCAAATCCTGGGAAAGACACCATTTTCTGGGTTCTTTGTGCCAAGAGAACTTACTGCAGCAGGGAACACGTAGGTCCTTCTCCTGAGTGATTTGATTGTCTCAGCTCACACCAACAGCTTTTCTTTGTGCTTATGGAGTTAATATGTTAGTAGAAAATCAATGGAACTTTTAGAATGAATAATCAGAAAACAAAGCTATCTTGTTCTGACTTTTCTTTCTTCCTTTTTTTTTGTTAGTTTGTTTTACTGACTTTATTGTCAGCCTTGTCAAGGTGAGCTGTGTGTGATGCGATTCTTTTGTGTTCTTTCTCTAATAATGTGCCAACATGTGTTTTTCAGAGGCTTTGTGATGCCTTTTTGCTGCTGTTTCTGCTGTACATCAGAGGTTATTGTTTGCCTCTTCAGCATTTCCTTTCTAGATTATGTGCAAATTAAGAGAACAAAAATTATATTCTTAGTATTGCAGTTGGTCGTAAATTCTCCAGGAAAGGTAATTCTTGACAGAAAGCAATTGAATTTGGCAGTTGGTGAAGGATGCTGTAGTGGGGGACACTTTTGTACAAGTCTGTGGAATCCAAAGTCTAAAGTTGCTTCTGCCTGGGGTCAAGCACCGAAAATCATATTACACACAGACCAAGGAAGATTTTTTTGCAAAATGCTGTGTCCTGCCACAGAAACATGCCAGCTTGGAGCTACAGCTGACCTCCTGCCAGTATAATATGTTTGATGTGGTTAAGTAAATAACCTGTTTCCTAGTAATGTATTGCTTTTGTCAGATTTTTCTGCTGGAAATGAGGTAAAGAGTTAAAGCCTGGGCTAGGAACTGGGAGCTCCTTTCTTTAATTAGGAGAGCTGAAGTTTGCTTTTGGTTCAAACCATCCAGTTCAAACATTGTATTTGTAAGTTCAGCAATATCTTTTCAAATAATTTATGGTATTGTCCCTTAGGACTTGGGTTTTTTCAATAACAGAAAGTCTGTTAGATTACTTTGTCTAATCTGTGCCTTCTTTTTTAAACTTCCCTGTTCCCATATTTCCCTAAAGAGAACCCAGATCTGAGAATGACGCCACAGGTAGTAAGTGATCTCCAGTGCTACCATCAGGTGGGTTGGGTGGTATTTTCAGGCATGTTAGCACTCAGCATGAAAACTGGGGTTTTGGTAAGTGGAAAAGCTTTACTGACCCATCAGCAATGCGTGTTTTATAGCAAAACTCACAGATCTTTGAAGCACAAGGGCTGGTTCTCAAACATGGTGATGCTTAGCTGCCTTAACCATGAGGAGTGGAGTTCGTATGAAGCTTGTTTCTAGCAACAACCTCGGTTTTCTTCCCCTGAAATTTCACAGGGAAGGAAACCACAAGGATCATCGAGCCCAGCTCCTGGCCCTGCACAGGACACCCCATTATCCAAATGCTTGAGCTCTCTCAGGCTTGGTGCTGTGACCACTTCCCTGCACAGCCTGTTCCAGTGCCCAAACAGGTGAAAAATGTTTTCTAGTATCCAACCTAAACCTCCCCTTCCACAACTTCAGACCATTCCCTGTCACTGTCAGAGCAGAGATCGATGTCTGCCCCTCTTCCCCTCACAAGGAAGCTGTAACTGTAATCTCTCCTCAGTCTTCTCCAGGCTGAACAGAGCAAGTACCCTCAGGTGTTCCTTATATGGCCTCCAGACCCTTTACCATCCTTGTTGCCCTCCTTTGGGCGCTCTCTAATAGTTTAACATCTCCCTTCCACTGTGGCACCCAAATCTGCCAACACTACTCAAGGCCAGCAGTATCCTGGCTGAAACATCATGGAGAGCCTGTGCTCTCCGAGCAGGGGAAGTTGGGTCTGTTCTGGAAGTCAGCAGTTTCAAATTCCTGGACACAAGTCCCATGAAGGTAACCTAGCACAAACTGGGTGTTGTGTTCAATATATTAAAGTGGTTTTAAAACAGTCCCCTTGGCCTCAGTGTTCTTCAGGGACAACTCACCCAATCAACTTTTCAGTCTCCAAAGAAAGCGACTTTGTTAGAAGATCTTGCTTTGATGTTATTTGTTCAGACTTTGTGTCTGGAACTCCTGAAACCCTTCAGAGTGCTTTCCCTTTTTGTTCCCTAGGTTTTACTGTGTCAGATTTTTTTCCATCTGAGTTTTTCTCAATTCCAGTAGAAATGTCCACCTGTTTGCTTCTCCAGTGAATGAGTTTTCTTTCAGTTCTTGTGTCAGCCTGTCACGAGCTTCATGCATTGTGTCAATTCATTGCATTCTCCAATCCATCTCAAAGTCTGTCTTCGTGTTGCAGCGCTGTCAGTTTGCTTTGGAGAAAACACTGAAAAAGTACAAAGTACATGATTTGGAGATCATAAAACAGAAATTATGAGTGTAAAAGCCAATCATAAGCACTTTAGAAAGGTCTATCTGGTGATTGTGCTGTGAGCAGCACCTGCATTGTAAGTGATAAAGATGCTTATCTATTATCCCGTTAATTGGAAGGGCTTGGATGATCAGTGGCTTTGCTCAGCTCTTTCCCCAGTGATACCTAGCTTGTGTGGGAGGTTGTGTCCATGATTTGCCAGTTTGATGCTGGTCAGCACAAAGCGGCAAGTCAGCCTTTATTGGATGGCTGAGCACAGAATTCTCTGTAAATATTTCATCACATATAGTGAATAAAGAAGGAATAGTCTCTCCTTGCCATAGAATCAGTATGCTCACAGCTACAGAAGGTAATTTGTGGCTGCTGGACCTGTACAGAGCTATACCCCAACTTCTTTGATGCTTTACATTGTGATTTTGCTGTGTAATGTGTAAAAGTGCAGCAGTTACCTCTGGTGTGCTTTTTGCCGCGCAGTTGAGCACCCAGGTGGGCAGCATCCCTCCTGCCTTCTCCCTTTGCTTTCCCGGTGCGTTCAGTTTCTGTTGGGCACACCAAGTCTGAGAGGGGAAGAAATTAGCCCTTTGTCTACTCTAAGTATTCATGGCTCCTCCTGGGTGCTGGTTGTGGGGTTTATTGGTTTTGCCACAAAGCTTTAGAATACATTCAGTTTTTGCATTCCCTGGTCCTCCCCACTCTATCCAAATTACACTGAACACTAAAGGAGAGGGAAAAAATCATGAATTCTGGAGCTAAACATCTTTGGACTTGACCTGCTGGAAGTTGTGCAGCTCTGTCTGCTCCCCACAGAGAAAAGTTCTGGTAGCCAAACTTCAGAAAGGAACAAAATAGTTTTGCTCTTTAAATGCCATTATAAAACCCCATGATTTCAGTGACTGGGTGGGGTGTCATGCTGGGCACACATTTATCATTGTAAATGTTAGGTCTGAATGGCTTTGAAATGCTTTCAGAACGTGTGATTTTGGGCACATAAGCAGATCACTTTTATTATAACCTTCATGTTACACTCAATGGGGTTGGTCAGGTGATGTTTTTCCCTGTTCATTTAAGTGGTTTCTTACAGAGGCCTTTGAGTTCCAGAATAATGTTCTGTGCAACCCCGGTAATTACTTTATTATTAACTGGAAGGCCAGGTGCCCTTGTCTACCTCCCCTTTTAGGAGTGAATCATGTTCTGATATTAAAATGACCCTAAGCTGAGATCTCAAGTTTCCTTTCCAGCTGGACTAATGGGGCTTGTAGGAGGGAAGCCAAACTTCCATGACTGCTAATTATCCTCGAATTGGATTAATAAAGGAAAATTACTTAACTACCCATCCAAAGATGGAGAGTTAGCTGTACCTTTGAAAAGACTTGCCAGCTGCTAACAAGGTACAGTTGAACTGGATTTGCCTTTTTTAAACATACCTTGGGTATATCCCCTGAGCGTATGCAGAAGGATTCATCTTTGTGTGTGCTGTTTTCTGGAAGGGCTCAGCAAAATCTTAGCTGGCAAGTTGGCCACCTCAGTAGATGTCTTTGGAGCTAAACCAAGGACTGTGTTTCCATCTATGAGCCTAACCCATGACCTGTGGGAGACCATTGGGGATTTATAAGTAATTTTTAAGGGGTTTATCTTCAGAAAAGAAAGGTGAGCTGTCTGAACTTCTGTCTTGCAATTCTTTTCTCTTTAAGCAATACTGTGGATTGCTGTGGGTTTGGAATTTTTTCCAGCCATAAGAGCAAGCAGTGCTCAGTGCTAAAGGAGCACTTTCCATGATGGTGATCCTGTGAGGGAATTGCATTTAATTATTTTAAATTATTGAAGCAGGCCAAAGAGTTGTGTCCAACCTCTCAAGTGACTTAGTACCCACTCTTCTTCATATAATTTGAGGAGCCAATATCCATGTCACTTAGGAAGGCAAGCAAGAATTCCTGTCTTTATATCCTTGGCATCTGACAGATGCTCAGTTTTACCATTAGCATAGCTGAGCTACTTTATAAAACCTCCCCAGCCTGCATCTTCTGTCTGACACTTCCTTGGTAGTGTTGTTTATATAAAAAACCTGCAGCCCTTTTATTTTTAACTCCTATGTTAATGGTGGGGATGGTTAGGGAGAAATTCCCTCTTTGCTTTTTTGCCTTTGCTGTGAAAAAAAATAATAAATGTTTGTCAACCTAACAAGATTTAAAGTCCCTCCCCTGCTCTGCAACATTTAATTCCTGGGGTATCTTTGTAACTGCACTTTGTTGTGCTGAACAGAATTTCTCAAATATTTTCTCTCACATCAACTTGTGATAAGTCTAGTCTGACCTTTTGGACTTACTGCTTGGGGCATTGTTTATCTGGCACTGCCTGCTTCCTTTCTCTCCCAGCCAGGAGCTGAGTAGACCTAGAAGATGCTGGTGGTGCTTTGAGGTGGGCATACAAGATGCTGGTGGTGCTTTGAGGTGGGCATACCTGAACCTCTCACTGCAGTGAGCTAACAAAAGAAAATGAGAATGGCTCTTTGCATTCAAAAAGCTTTATTAGAATGTCATCTAGAATTCTTGAATTCAAAGCTATGAAGAACATTCTTAAATATTTAAGTGCTCTCTGCCCTTGTCCATTAAGTCTCTTCCTCTGCAGATCTTTTCTTCCAATTCTTAAGTCAACCTAGACATGTTTTGGGGGGTTATTGCAAGCTCTGAGCTGCCCCTCTCATCCACAGAAGAGTTGTTCCCATGGGATGTTCACTCCCTGCCACTCTCAGTAGGTTTTAAACCTCTCTGACGAGCCTTACGTTGCCAAGTTTGTGTTCTTGGCTCTTTCTGCTGCCAGACCACCCTCTGCTCGTGGAGCTCTGTCCTGTGCAGACTGAGGCACAACCAGCCCAGGAACCTTCATCCTCTGCTGACTGAGCCCTGCCCACCCCAGTCTTTTGGGGTGGAGTTCCTCCTTGACCATGGGGACTGTGTCACCTGGCACAGAACCACAGCAAAGGCTGGGGCAGGTTTGGATGGGTCTTGCCTGGTCCCTGCCCAGCCTTCCCTGCTTCTTGCAGCTGGAGAGTTCCTTCTGTCCTCAAAAGGAAAGCCTTCCATGGTCATCCAAGACTCTAAATACAGAGTGCACAAACCCACTGAGCTCAGCAGAGCTGGGATATTGATTTGTGTGAGAGAATTTTCCATGAGCAAAGTGAAAAGCCCATCAGTCTTTGTGTGTTTGGTGCCTGTGATTAAAAATTTTGGTCTTTGTAACTGTTACTGATACATTTCATATGTAGTTGGCACTGTACAAACATCTCTTCCTGTATCTGATTTCCATTTTTCTTTTAACTTACATTTCTTTAATCATTAATTTTGGTTTTTTGTGGTGTTTTTTTTTTCATACACAGATGTGGGATGATGCTTTTATCTCTTCTCAGAAGAACTGTTGGTTCTCTCTGAGTTTCTCTGTAGGATACCGAATATTTTCCTCTCTTCAATACAGATGAAGCTGTTGCTCTGCAACACATTTGTTAATTCCCAATGAAAAACTTTTTTTTGTTATTTTAATAGGAGTCTTTTCTGTAAAGATGTTGTTTAAAAGCATGTATTTGAAGTGAGATTTTTATTGTGACTGCTCCAAGAGGACCCTCATAGCCTTGACATCCGAAGTCTTCTAGAAGCAGCTAAGTGGGCTCTGTGTTTGAAGTGGCAGCACAATGCAAAGATGTAGCAGGAGGGAAATGTATTGTATTAATTCTAACAAACTTCAAGAAACTTATATCAATGAAAGTTCTTCACATCTTTGGTTCAGACATGTCAGATATAAAGAGCGTTGAAATCAAGGACAAAGATGCCAGCAAAGGCTTGTGTAAGATGGAGGACCCAGACCTCCTTATGAAAGTGAGACAACTTCTCCTGGGCTTCTTTCAAAGAAATAACAATAATAACAATAATAGTAATCCACTCAGCAACGTCTCTGAACACAAAGGCTGAACAAGTCTCTGTCCTGTGAGACTGAAAGGATTATTTAATAGGTAATTAAACATAGTCAAGGACAATTGTCATACAAGGTAGAATCTGTGTTTGTGACTTTGGTTGCTGGCTCAGGTCATCACTTGTCCCCAGACAGGCAGGATCAGGTTGTCAGTGCCCATTACATTTAGAGAGAAATTATTGGCCTGCCTTGCCTGTGAGTTTGGGGGTTTTTAGCAATATTTGATGTGGGTTTTTTGTGTAACAAACTTTAAAGAACACATCTATTATTTGGCTGTAAAAATTGGAACAAATCAAGGGAACTTAGATATCTTCCTGTTCTCTGCTTCTAGCTGACTCATTTTAAAACTTAGAGCTGAAGAGCTTAAGTATTGTCTAGAAAAATAAATTTCCAGAGTAGAGTGGATTTACAAAGTCACTGACTTCCAAAGAGCATTTTCTGTCCTGTCTGTGCAAACTACTGAGAATTTAACTGTTGCTTTTTGATTGGTGACTGCACTACATATCACAGGTCTTTACAGGTCTTTTATTATTTATTAATGTCATGCAATATGTAACTTAGGCTCAATAAGTGTGAAAATATGAAGCACCCATGAAACTAAGCTTTTGTTCCCAAGTGAAGATCAGTGGAATTGAGACATCTCTGACGGACAAGAATTCATAATCCTTTGTCTTCTAATTCTTTATTGAAATCTTCCTGGTTTCCAGGATTTCTTTGTATTTAGTTATGTTTGAATCAATTTGCCTCTATAGTGATCCTTCAAAAAAAAACCTAAAACCCCAAAGCCAACACAACAACAACAAAAAAAACCCATCTCCAAACCCAGCTTCTTTTGTAAAACTAATTTCTGATCATCTACTGCTATCACATCTGTTTATCATCTTGAGAAATTTTTACATGAGCATCTAGAACATTGATAAAATGTTAAATAATATTGAGCCAAGAGTTAATCTCTGGGGAAATCTGCTGGGAAAAGCCCCACCAATTCCTATCTCCCACTAATGTGATTACATGAAGTTGCCTTTTGATATCAGTGTTTGCAATTTTAACATTAATGTCCAACAATAAAGTTGTACCTGACACTTGGGATTTCTTCATTTCAAGTTGCCTTCTTTATTATGTTGAATTTTTGAACTTTATAAAGTTTTCATTGAATTTTGTACTCTCTATTATTACTTGTCTGTATTTTCCACACAACTGAAACTCTTGGCAATTTCTGGCTTTTTTTTTTTTTTTAATTTTAAATCGAAGTATTTGTACTTTATATGTATTTTTTGCAAATCATAACTTTTTAACTGTCTGCTGCATTTGGGGTTTTTTACTGTCAGGTAAAAGACCTTTATTTTTTCCCCAGAAACTCTGTATTTTGTTAGTTAGCCTCAGGCCATGTCCAGCAGTGCTTGCTCATGATAGATTAGCTTTCTTTTATGCAGTGGTTTTTGTGGAATAGTTCACTCTGTGGTCCATCGAGCATTAAATACATTTCCTGTGCACCTGGGTAGAAGGTGTCTTTTCTGACTGGTAGAGATATCTAGAGATATTATAGATGAGATATAGGAAAGAATTATCTATTTCTTTACCTGTTCCAAGTATAAATATTTTAAAGACAGTAGTCCAGGTGTATGGCTCAGCTAGCATTTATCTGTAAGGAATATTTTGCATAACATTTTGCATATTAATTATGTTATTATTATATCAGAGCTGGGAATCCAGCTGCACTTGCCACTGGAATGCACAGACAGTGTTAGCAATAGTTGTGCCAGGAAGATTTTCCTACCTTCTTTGTATTGCCAAAGGATTTATTATCCTTTACAGGCAATATTTCATGGACTTGTGTTATGAATGTTTGTTGTTTAGAATTTGTCACTGAGGAAAGGCCAGTTCCAGACATGGCGCTCTAGATTTGTGGTGTCGTGCAAAGCCCAAGTTATTTTTCATAATTATTAATATTGCTGTGGTGACAGTCCAAAGGTGAGTTGTATCTGCTCATCTCCAAATGACCCTGTGAAGATGAGCAACATTTGTAATGATTTTGGTCAATGGTTTCTTAGCTGCTTGAAGTAATTTCAGAGCCCAGCCAAGGGATTTACATTTCCATAAACAGATCCCACCTGCAGAAACTGTCTGAGCATGAGGGATCTGGAAGAACTGGCTGTTCCATCAGTGTGTCCAGCATTTCCAGCACAGGAATCAGTACAGCTTGTCTGTGAACTGGGAAGACACCCCGGGTGGTGACATATAAAAAGGATACAGAACATTCCCTTTCTGTCAGATAATCTTTTTCTCCTGCTGGCATTGGGTGATGCATTTTAAAGAGGTGGGGGATCTTTGGTCAGAAATCTTTCTGAAATAATTTCGTTGAATATATTTCACTGGCTTAACTAAAACAAAAGCCCAAAAAGCAACCAGAAAAAACAAACCAGATGCTTTTCTCTTTTTTTTATATGAACTTCTAATTTTTTTTAAATTTTTTTTTTTTGTTCAAAGTTACTGAAGGCTTTGGATCTGCTTTTTTTGGGGGTGAGGGAGGGGGCAGGGGACATGGGCACAGGCACATGAATGGAGGATTTTAATTTTTAATACTAATCTTAAATATTACCAAGCTCAGTAAAACCTTTTCAGTGGGGTTTGCAGAACAAAAATAGGATTTTTAGATCTGCATCTGAGCAAGCTTCATCTTTGCCAATGGGAATAGCTGTGGTTTGCTCCTGCTCCTAAATGAACTCTGAAAAGTAAATATGTCCATGGGACAGTCCAAACAAAGGGCTTTTTTTGGGGGACAGAAATTGTTTAGACACTCCTTTAGGAAGATTGGATGATGATTTAGCTACTGGCATACAAAACTTTTAGGAACTGATAGTACCCACCTCTGGAGAACAGACTGTGTTGCCCTGACTTGGCCTCTGCACACACATCACCTGCTCACTGTTGCACTCCTCTGGGAGTACCTGAGAGCACCATTCCCGGAGATCCTGAAGACTGGAGCAGGTGGAGAATCTGTGGCTTTTGTGGCAAAAGAAGAAAAGTGGGTGTTGCTGCAGGTTTTACAGTGGGAAACACATCTGGAGTACTTCCAGTATCCCAGGGATGTCCTGTATATATTAATGGGAGGCTGAAGGAATACCATGTGGGTGAGGAAGAATTGGCTGCTTTGGAGATTACAAAAAAATTAAAACTTCATCCTACCCCAAGCTCCTGGCATTTTCTGTCTTGCAGGAGAAAGCTGTGGGAAGAATAGGCTTTAGTAGTGCCAAGGTAGGGGAAAATACCTGGGCAGTTCCTTCAGGATCCTGGGGACAAGCCACACAGTCAGGGCAGCAGTGAGTCCTCTCCTGTGCCAGCTGAACAACAGAGGAGGAGGAGGAAAAAGTTCTGGCTTTCTGGTGGGGAGGAGTAGGAGTATTTGCAGGGTGTGTGCTGAGGCACAAAGCAAGCCTGGAGTGGCTCAGTGGAGCTGTGTTGGGAGCCAGAAGCTGCTCCCAAGGCAAACTGGTTTGGGAAAACATCTTCCCAGCAGGCACAACCACTGAACACTCCATCAGGAGCTAGAGGACATGCAGCATTCAAACCACCTGCCCAAGAAACAGAAGGAGGAATCTTGCACCAGATGTGATGGACAGCCCAGAGAAGGGAGAAGCTGTGATTGCCCTGACCCATTTGGGGTTTTTTTCCAGACCTTTGAGAGGATTTTCCTTTGAAGACATTCACCCAAATGTTTATATTTTCTGTCATCTCATGTTTCTGCTTATGATTGTTCACAGCAGCTCAAGGGTGACTTCAGCAAGACCCTGGGTCTGTGGTTACTTTCCTCAGGAGATGTTCCTGCTCTTGGAGGCAGTTTTAAGGTTCTTGGGGAGCTCAGCTCTCTCCTCTAGAGCATACCACTGGGGAGCCAGGTGCTTCTTGCTCTGTCTGCAGGGATTTGAGGAGATGGGTTTTTTCCCTGGTGAAATAGATCAACTCTGTTTGACATTTAAATTGTCATCCAGAATTAACCTGCTACTGAGATAAAAGGAGGAGGACAGAGCAGCCTTCTCTTCCAGCTATTCCCCCCTCCTCAGAATTTCCTCCAGAGGCTTCAGTTTCTCCTCTGTATCCTTCTCCCTCTCCAACTTTGCATCAAGCCAGACCAAAAGAGCAGCAATTCCTATATGAACATTCAATTAGTCCCATATTCAAATCTTGTCACTGTGACCTAGTGAATTATGCAAGGGGCTGGATACCAGAAATCAATTGAGCTGTAATTCCCAGCCCTGGCACTGGATCTCTCAGCATATTGCTATAGGCAAGTTATTTCAGCACATTTTCTCTCTCCATTTCTTCCCTATAAATCGCACATGTTAACGTTAGGTGATGCAGCAGCATCACAGATGGGCTGAGATATTTGGGTAGAGGAATTACAGCAGCACATCCCACTCCTACATTGTGTGCCCAGGTCTTTGTTTATTTAAAAATGCATCCACAGCAGAACATTTGCCAAACGCAGGACGATTCAGGCTTTGCCTAACTTCTGTTAAAGATACAAGGTCTGGGAAAAATCTTTCGAATTATCCTACAAAAAACCAATTTGAGATGAAGAGGAGGTTACCAGAGAGTAAAATACTCAGTATTTTCTATCCCAAAATGCTAAGTTATCACTTACATGCAGTCCAGCACGATGGCAATTCAGAACCATGGGGGTCCTTATCTCCCATGGCTCACGCTGAAATTATTGGATATGTTGTTGCCAAGAACAGACTGAATTCAGTGTAAGAGCTGCATCAGTGAAAAGGGTGCCATCATATGCAGGGCCTTAGGATTTTTTTGAATTTTTTTTCCACCTTGATGAAATGTTTTTTAAGAATGGCTTTGTAAAAAGCCAGTGCCAAGTCTACAGTGCTCTTCAGTGAAGAACTCGTAATGCAAAGGAAATTTAAGTATGATAGAGAAAAAGGAAGTATTATAGAAGTTTACAAGCCTTTCATGTTAGTTTCTTAGAAACATTAGGCGAGTGCTTTATTTCCTATTTGCTGTCTATTGCTCCCAACCTGGTTCTTCCCATCACACTGCTCTCACAAGTGAATCACTGCACTTTGCAGTTGTTATCCACTAATAGAGGAACACAATTGACTTGTGGCAGAAACCTAAATGTTATTTATATAAAAAACTACCGGAAAATATCTACTTGTGATCAGTGTTTCCTGAATGGTTTAAAATGTCATCTGAGACAAAATTCTGTTCAGCTGTTCTCCAGTGTGGTATTTTCATGGTGCAGCATTTGTGAGGCGTGGGAGAGCCGAAATGTGAACTCATGGAAGGCAAAGTCTTTAAGCTGCTTAGGTGGCTGCATGAAGTATCTTGAAAAAAGCACAAGGCAAAGAGGGAAGAATAAATTATGTGGTTTAACTGTCCTTAATTTCAATTAAAGATGATAGCAGTGAAATTGGAAATATGTTTAGTCTGATAACTTCCCTCTAATGAAGGATCCTTGGCGTGGCTTCCAGGGATCCAAATTCACTGTCTGCAATGCTGAAACCTTCTTGTGTCACACAGACCTTGTTTGCACATCCTTTCCCTCCAGCCATTAGTGGAAACTTTCATCTGAATGTGAAATCCTTTGCTGTGAGGTGATTCACTGGGTAGGATATGTAATGCTCTCGTTGGTATCTAAATGTTTCAGCCAACTGATAAATAATCAAGAACCTTGAATATTCCTTTCTGTCTGTCTCTCCTCAGAGTGCTTTGACTTGCAGTAATTTATGGTGAGTGCATTAATACCAATCACTGTAATGTCACAGACATGAATTACCACATTACATTCTGTCACTTGGTGGCTTTTTCAGTGCCAGGTAACAGACTTTTCCCAGGGTAGGGTGTGTTTGGGCTTGTTGCTGTTGTTGTAATTTTTCTCCTCTGCATTTTTAAATGTCCTAATTAAACAGTGAGACTGAAAAAATATCAAAGTTTTCTAAAATCCAAGTGCCATTCCCAATCAGGGCTTTTTGGGTTATTTTTGGGTGGCTCTAGCCCTTTTTTTCTTTCCCAACCTTATAATCTTAAGTCCAAAGTTTTCACCTTGATACCTTTGTTATTGTTTTTTGTTTGTGATT